CAGCCACAACAAACTTGAATATAATTCATCATATTCCAGCCGTCAAGGAATACATCAAGAATGTGATGGAAAGAGGACTGCCAAGTGAAATGATGAACATTCAAGAGACACAATGCTCTCAGAACTTCATCTTCAACCACATTCCAATCTGGAGAATTGAATTTATTCCTAATCAAGGGCTGACGAAACAAGTGAATTCAGGGCTAGGAAAAATACGCACTTTAGAAACAGACCATACTAAGAGCACTATTCAGGTGAAATCTGGGACAGAGGCTTTAAAAAAAGAAAAGCTGATAGTGACGACTAAAACCTTGGCAGGAAAACTCAATCATGATCCAAGGGATGTTATAGACGTTCAAATCAAGCCTGAAGAAAATGTGAAAATAGAAAAGAAAAATGTGAGAACTGATGGTAAAGTAGAAGTTGAATTCATGGCTAAAGTAGCTGGTCAGTTGACAGCAGAGGTTCAAGTGAATGGGAATCATGTATCTAACAGTCCACTAGCGGTGAATGTCAAGCCACAAGAGATGAGAACAACAGGACAGTTTAAGATGAAAGGTGTAAATAGAGAATCTTGTAAGTTAAGAGGTATAGCAGTAAACAGAGACAACAGCAGGATCGCTGTTTCAAATGGTTCTGCTGAATGTGTCCATGTATTCACCACTGATGGAGATCTCTTTCTGACGTATGGTACTCGAGGTAGAATAAAGCGAAAACTTTCTTATCCTCACGGCTTAGCATTTCTGAATGATACAGATTTAGTCATAGCAGACTGGAGTTATCATAGAATATGTATAGTGAACACTACAACAGGGACATTGGTAAAAACCTTTGGTAACCAAGGTGACGGGGATGGAGAGCTTCAATGTCCATATGGAGTACACGTTGATGACGATGGTAACATCATTGTGTGTGATGGTGGTAATAATTGTGTTCAAGTCTTCACGAGAGACGGTGACTATCAATATCAGTTTGCATTGACAACACAGTTTGGTTTGACAACACAGGACGAGTTCGCTCTATATGATGTGATAACACATGATGGACTGTTTTACGTCAGTGATTGTAATAATCACATTGTTCATGTATTTGAGAAGAAAGGTAACGTACCGACTAGAATATCGACGATTGGTGGTGAAGGCAGTGCTGATGGTAAGCTAAATGTACCATGTGGCCTGGCTATTGACAATGACCATCATCTGCTGGTGTGTGATTTTGGTAATAACCGCGTACAAAAATTCACATTGGATGGTCGTTTTGTAGGAAAGACTTGTGATGTAATCGAAAACCCTAGATATATAACTGTTTTAAAGGATGGTCAGTTATTAGTTAGTACGTATGGTTCTGGTGTCTGGTGTGTAAAGTAGAATTGACTAATGATTTTCAGTCACCATATTTGATCGATATGACATATGCAATGATATCCCTGGGTTTGACATGTGCTAAAATAAGACTATTCGCAGTTTATACATTTGATATCTGTTTTTATTCTTTTTTACTTTTGTTTGCGTTTGCTTTATTTTGTCTTCTTTCGCTGCTTCATTTTTCTGCTATCGCTGTTTTGTTTTTTTCGTTTTTTTGGGGGTTTTTTTTCCAGTTTTTTTCTTTCTTTTCTTTAGTTAAGTTTTTTAATCGAATACAGTTAAAACCCGCGTGTAAGAACCAGAATTTTTCAAGTTAGCCTAAACAGGTTCTTATAGAAATGGTACTTAAATCAAATTTAGGATAACAAGGTTCTCAAAATAGGTTCTCATAGTTCCATATGAATTTCATCGAAATATTTTATAAATATAATCTCATAATACTCATTTATATT